TCTCTCTCTCTCTCTCTCTCTCTCTCTCTCTCTCTCTCTCTCCCCCTTCCACTCACTCTGAAAAAGCAATGAAAAAACTATATCCTCAGGTAAGGATTAAAAAAACAAATAAATAAAAAACCCCAGAAATATAAAGAGAATTTGTGAGTATATGGAAATAAAAGGAGAGCTATCAGGAGACATCAAAGATGACTCCAGAATTCTGAATAACCTTACGTTGATAATTAGGTTTCAAGTATAAATCATCTGGCTTCTTAATCTCATGTAATAAAAGCTCAGAGTCCGCAGGGGAAGGCAGTCAAACACAGAGATTAAGAGGACAGGCCCAAGAGTCATCACAAATCGGGGTTTCAGACACAGCCCTGGTACTTTCCAGCTCTGTGACCTTGGGCAAGTTGCTTAGTTTCTTCAGTCTAAAATGGGAGTGATAACTGCAGCATGCTCCTAAAACTACTGTGAAGATTAAATGAGATGCTGAGCACCTAGCAAGTGTCTAGCACAAAGTAAGAGCTGAATTAAAGATGGCAGGTGTGATTATTATTACTGATTTCTCTTTCAAGAACAGCAAAGACATACACACACAAAAAGACTATTAAAATACAAAGCATATAAAAAAACAACAAATGAGTATTCGAGAAAATCTGTGACTAGAAGGCCAGATTAGAAATATATTAGCATAGGCAAGAAAGTGGGAAAGAAGGTACATAAACTCATGGAATGATAGATTAGACCACATTATGAAAGATCTTGAGTTCTAGATTAATAAAACGGTTTTTCTTACATATAATGAGGAGATACTAATAGTTTAAACAGGTATGTAATATGAGATAAATAGAAAAAATGACCTGCCTAAGGATATATGGTTATCAGTGTGGACTAAAAAGCTCTTGATTTAATTCAATCACATTTCCTCCATAAAGCACTATTTTGGTGAAGACTAAATAAAACTTTATTATAATTTCCAAGTGCAAAAAGCATTTTTGTTAGGAAGATGGAAAATTACTGCCTGCTTTTGATTACCTGTGCCAGAGAAGGAGCTTATTGGTGCAGATCATCAAAGTCAACAAATAATCTAACCAGCTGGACCAGGGCTCAACACCTACTCCCTGAGTTAGGAAAATCTGCCATGGCACCAACTCCAACAGTTAGAAGAGGAATCTCTTGCCAGAAATGCCATGCTCCCACTGGCAGGATAACCCTTTGCCTCACCCAACTAGGTCAGGGCTGCTTCCCTGGCTGTAGATAGTGGCTCAGGGATGAAAGACCAGCAACAGTCATAGGCCACTTGTATGTTCCTCTTACAGTCCACTGCTAACTGGCAATGTCTACAATGCAGCTTGATGCGGGCACCTTTTGCCCAACTGGGCCAAGACAAATCCAGATAGCTTTACACTTTACCAAAAGACACACACACCTCAGGTCATGAACGGAACCGCCAGAAATACTAACAGGAGAACAGTAACAAGGACAGGATATGGAGAAAGGAGCACTCCTTACTGTTCATGTAGAATCTACACTGTAGGAAGTTTTTTCTTAATCATGGACATATGTATCTTTATTTTTATTATACATTAAATTTTCTTATCGAGGTAATGTGACTAATTTATGTCAAACAGTACTTAATTGCTCATAATAAAGATGGGCAGTGCCCATGTTCTACCCCTCACCCATCTCCAAGCCTAATCCTCAAAGGCACACACTACTTACTCTTCCAATATTTAGCTTCATATTTTTAAGTGACATGCTTATAATACTCTCTTGATTTTTGCAGTATTAGAAATTTTCTATTGACTTACTGTTAAAATAGGTAATGATTAACATCCCTTATATCACCTACCCAATATACCCACCTTGTCCTCCCATGTAACAATTCAGAGTAAATCATTAATCAGCAGCCCATTTACATAATAATGACTATGGAAATACTTTTCACTACGGAGACAAGCATCATTTTGCTTAAATTAATTTTCTTGTACAATATTTTATTATTTCTGGAATTAATTGCCTAGTTTTTAATAGTTTATTTTTCTAGGTAATTGACAACCCCCCCCCCATGATCAAATAGGTCTATCAAATACCCATCAATAATATTTTTGCAAATAATGAAATACATCAGATAAATTATCATTCCTTTTAACTTTTTCCCCTTGATATATCCTTCTTTGTACTGTATGTCTGGCCTGGTTGACCTCTGTATTGGGTCAATCCTTACCCATGCTCCTGTTAGAGTTCCCTGTCTTCTGGTTGTAAATCATTCTACTTTTAGGTTTACTCTCTTTTTTGTGGGAGTATATTCTCCAGATAACTTCCATGAGAAAGAGTACATGAATAAGACATTTTTAAAGTATCTATATGGTTGAAAATGCTGTTATTCTATGCATATACTTGATAGTTTCGCTAGGTATCAAAATATATGTTGAAATTAAATTTCATTCAGGATTTTAAAAGGGCTATTCCACTGCCTTCACGATTCTAATATCACAACTGAAAAGCCCTGTGCCATTCTGATTCCTAATGCTTGGTCTATGATTTGGGGGGGGGG